ATATATATATATATATATATATATATATATCGATAAGTCACTAGTACATCGGACTTGAACTAGTGCTAATACAAAAAGTATATAAAACAAAACATAAATCTGCGCATATACTAACATACATAACAGAAATGCATGATGAAGGACCAGCCTGGTCAAAATAATCCCAAAAAGAGATGGAAAAAAAAAGAAGACATTTTACTTGGTGATCCTGAAAAAAGGATGCATTAGGTACACTTGCACACTCCGGGCTAGTGTTTTAAAAAAAAAAAAAAAAGGTCAACAACAAGGAAAAATAAACATTGTTAAATTAATGCCTCTGACGGTGTCAATCAATACTGAGCGTTATCTTTTTGGCAGAGCTCTTGTATTGGACCTCAATGGATTGTGCAAGTGTAGCTCATGTTGTGGTATTCAGGTTCGAAAAGTGACAACAAAAAAAAAACCGACAAAGCAAGGCGTGTGCATTGTTCGCACAGGCAGTACGCATTGACAGGCATTAACGATCAGCGATGCTTTTGTCGCGTATGAGGTGGATTTCAATACATACAAACACAAAACCTGTTGCTGTTTAAGAGTAGGAAAGAAGCTCAGTCGTCTCAATTCTTGAAGATCTGTTTGTGCGTTTTCAAGTTTTTTTTTTTTTTTTTTTTTGCACAGAGCCGTTTGACGAGATCATCGATTTGGACCGCCTCGTAAAATGAGGCTATAAAATAAGAGACCGCCACCTACGGCGGTGTTGTTCCTTCAGCTGATGTGCAATGTGTGTTTGGCATGAACCTGAGAAATGCAGGCGTGGTTTTTGGGAGGAAAGGCCAGTGTTTCGCCCCCAGGCTAAGGTTTTTGGCGAGTGGAAACCTGGCAGCGGTTGCCAGGGGCAAACCGTGCTCGTAACACGGAACGGTTGCTGAGTGCTGCGGGAGGGTGGGCCCCCCCACGAGGGTGGCTCATCTTCACGCTACAGAGGCCACCTTGTCGCAGTTGCCGGTGTACTGGACGTCCGGCCGGTTGTCGTCGGGCGAGGGTTTCCTGCTGCGGCAAGGCAGCGTGAGCAGGGAGAGAACCAGCGCTCCCAGCAACACGCAGCCGCCGCTGAAGTAGAACGCCAGGTCGTAAGACTGCGTCCAGTCAAAGAACCAGCCTAAAAAGTGATCAAAGGGGCAAACAGCCGGTGAGGATTTCTGGAACAACTGAGTTATCTATGCTGTATCATTAAAAAAGAAAAAAGCAGGCACACTTCCCGTGTAGATTTGTCACTCTGAGCAAGCCGGGTGCAGTTCTTCGGCCAGGGAAAAATGTAAGGATAAAAGCACCACTTTTCAATTCTTCTGACAACCTCCCTTCTCACTCTGCCCCCCTTCGCCTTTTTTAACAAACTTTGCGGCCCATGCGAAAAGTTATTTTCAGTTGCGTTTTTTTTTTTTTGTTTGTTTAGTTTTGTTTTTTTGGTGATGTCGTGGGCCGCTACAAAATGGACGACGGGCCACAAATGACCCACATGCCGTAGTTTGGGCATTGCTATCTTACAGTTTTTTTGTCACGGCTCAAAATGGACCTAGAATTTGGTCACAAGCAAAGCGGGTTTAGGTCAGGGGTTGTCCCGTCACTTTGCAGGAAGCGGGTCCAGTTGTGTGGCAATTCTGTCTGGTTTCATGAAACAAACCCGCTTTGGGGGCGCTTCGGTCTCATGCACAGTGGACGAGTTCTTTGGGATTTCTGTCACTTGGCCCAAAGCAGGCCTTGTTTTTTTGATCGTTCCGTTACTTTTGTGGGCCAAGTTTCTTAGCGAGTTCTGCCACATGCAAACTGGACCCGTTCTGGCTCGATTTTGTTCAATGCAAAAAGGACCAGGACTTTGCGCAAAGTGCCCGGTTCTTCGGTGGTGAGAAGAACTTTGCGGGAAGCGCCTCCTTTTTCAGGTAGGCCCGTCACTGCGAAAGCGGGTCTTAATTCTTTGGGAGCTCTGAGACCTGATCCCAAGGGAAACCCAGTTCTTACTTAGGCTTCATGTTGATTTAAAAAAACATATCTACGACTTACCGACAACGGGCGGTCCCAGCATGATGCCAAATCCGCCAAAGAACATGACGATCCCGTGGGCTTGCGTGAGCCTGTCCAAGCCGACGGTCTTCGTGATCACGTAGGACGTGATGGACCAGTTTCCCGAGAAGAAGCCCAGGACGGCGGAGAGGATCTGCAGTCCCAAGTAGGTTTGAACGACGGGGATGAGCAAGAGCGCGACGCCCCCGGCGAACATGGTGAAGGCGTACAGGTAGATGCTGTTGATCCAGCTGATGTCCACCAGGATACCGAGCGCCAGCTTGCCCACGCAAGTGGCGATGGCGCCGATGGAGACCAGCGGGATGACGGCGACTTCTTCGACGAGCCCCTGGCTCTGTGCCACGTCCTCGATTAAGAGCACCGGAGGGAACGCTCCCAGGCTGAACAGGAAGACGCCGATGCAGAAGGCCACCATGGCTTGGTTTTGCAGCAGCTCGTACATGGAGCTCATGTACGAGGAGTAGGCCTGCCTCTTTTTCTTGATGACTTTCATGACGCCCAGCCGAGCCAGGAAGCTGCTCCGCTTCTTCTCGCCGGCGTCCATGCCGTCGATGGCGATGAGGAGCTCCTTCCCCATCAGGCTTTTCTCCTGAGGGGACGTTGCGGAACCCGGCGCCATCTTCAGCTCGTCCGGCCGGGGCTTTTCCAGGAGCTGCCGCTCCGTGTTGCGTTCCAGGGCCGCCCGCCGTTTGAGGTAGTAGCCCGGCATGTCGAGGGGCCTCATGAAGCCGGCGCAGGCCATGAGGTTGAGCGCCAGCGCGCCGATGATCAGGAGGCAGCCGTCCAGGCCGTACAGCACGATCAGCTCGTTCTGAGCCGTGGCGTAGATGAAGGCTCCGACGCTGGTGCCTGGACGAGAGGCATCCACAATCTTAAATTGAGGACGAGAGACGGCGATTCGATCGCGTTTGTTCTCATCGGCGGCGTTTGGGCAAGTGGTGGCGTACGCCCCCGGCCTGTTCGTTCGGCAATCTCGGGGCACGTGACAACAAACAAGCGTTCATACCGGTGGGCAACTCGAGAGTCTACGATTAACTGAGCAGGCGCATTTTTTGGAACGTGGGAGGAAGCCGCGGCAGCTGGAGGAAACCCTTCGCAAACTCCACGCAAGCACGCCAAGGTTATTGTCGTTCATGAGAACTAACGAAATAACTCAGGTTGAAAAAACATTTTTGTTCACAGAAAAATAAAGAAAGAAAGAAATAAAAACCGTCATATAAAACTAAAACTAAAATTGCAGCGAAAATGTCCTTGTCAGTTCATATCAAAAATGAGCTTTCAGAGTTCATTTTAAATCTATCTATTTCACTATTGCGGTACTTCTGCACAGAAAAGACAAACTTAGTTTAAATTATTACACAATATTTAGTGATATATATATATATATATTTTTTTTTTTTGCACCTGTAATACATATACTAAAAAAAAAAATACTATACCTGACAAATACTCCAAATATTTTTTAAAAAATAAATAAATAAAACTAATACTAAAACAAAGCATTTTCTAAAAATAAAAATTCCTAAAATTGACCAAATTTGCTCTAAAAAAAAAGTCTAAATGAAACGAAAATGAACTCTAATGAAAAATCCTCAACTATTGTAAGTCATGACAACAGAGAGTGACCCGATTTAATTAAGTTCTGCTGAAGCTCAAACCGTTGTGACCATCCCCCCTCGTTCCGATAGCTCGAGTACCTCGAAAAATAATGAAGAACGAATAGGAAAAAGAAAAATGTGAAAGGCACAGCAGCTTCCATAACGTCCTGCGTTTGCTGGGTGTGGACGTGGACTTTACGCGGGAAGTGACTGGAGCTCGGGTGGCGTCACCCGTCGCGCGATTCTTGGCTATTTGGCAGCCGTCCACATTTCGCTTGTTTGTGGCCGGATTTAGAGATAACTGACAAATGCTTATCGCCCTCATCCAAGTGCAGCAATCATTTTCTTCCAGACGCTGGAGTGAAATTGTCAAATTAGCAGTTTTGCAAATCTTTCAACAAATACGCACTACAAGTTGGCCTTTGCCAGCCAAAGCTGCAAACTTGTTTCTGGCGCATTCACCATCACCGCAGATGTTTACCTGAAGAGTTATCCCACGGTTGGCAAGCAGCGGCACAGACATGAAAGCAGTAAGCATGCAGAACTCAAGAGCAGCAGGGGGAGGCGCGAGCAGTACCTGTGGTGACGATGCCGAGGGCGAGGCCGCGTCTCTTGTCAAAATATTGACAGGTGATTGTCAAGGTGGCTGCGTAGACCAGACCGCAACCCAGACCTGTGTGAGGTCGAGACAGAAAAGCAGGCAGAGACGTGAGAGGAATTTCTCTTAGGCACGAAAAACACAAGACGTGTTTGTAACAAGCCATTTCTGGAGAAATTGCGTGTGGCGGCTGAAAGACCGAAAGGAAAAGAAATATGGGAGCATGTGGAATGATTTAGAAAGATCTGGAATGAAATTGATGTTTTTTGTTTTTTAATGTGTCATTGGGAAGGAATTAGTCCTTTTTTTTTTGTGGGGGCGTCAAAATTTTGGTATGTTTACAATCATTCCCAGGTTGAACTGAATGAGCTCAACATTTTGGGAATAGGAATGATGTGAATCGGTTTTGTTGAGCGTGTCATCATGAATGAAGAGAAATTTTGGATTATAGCGGTCACATTTTTGGGGACTTTTTGGTGCGTGGGAATTTTTGGTGTGCTTTTTTTTGGGTGTTTTTTTTTTTGGGTGCCCCATTGCAAATGAATGTGCAATTTTTGGTTGAAAATGTACAATTTGGGCCAAACTCAAGAATTTTTGGAATGAGTAATTTAATACCCCGCATGACAAGATTTTTGGGGCAATACGTTGTGATTGGAATGATGTGAATCGGGTGAATTATGTAGAAAATTATGCACACCAAAAAGGAGGGTACAGCACATTATAGGTCAACAAAATATACATAAATGGTATACTTTCCGATCATGTTTACAATATACGGCATTGCTGTGCGAAATCCATACGCACGAGGCGCTTATATGCCACACAACGGCGAGCTGTAAAAACGCCGCAATGCGCGCACGAGGAGGCATTTCTATAAATAAACGAGCGTCCTGAAATATGCATGGTGTCGTCCACCCAGCCGAAAAATCAAGCCGCAAATGTTCTTTTTTCAGTCCCCGATGTGATGTCCACCAAGTGCTTCTAGAGTGCCTGTCATGAGCTGTATTCAGCTCCCGCATTACATCATCGAAGCTGTTTCCAGCGATTATCGACTCGTTAATATGTCCGAGCGTTTGAAAAGGAGAAGAAGAAGAAGAAGCTTAGGCCACGCATGTGACCGCCTTGACATCAAAGGCTTACCGACGACAATGCCGTAGGAGAAGATGAGGAACTGGACGTTGGGAGCGAAGGCACTGAGCATCAGGCCGCCGGCCACCATGACGCCGCTGAAGATGGTGACGGGGCGAGCGCCAAAGTTGTCCACGCAGGCGCTGCACACGGGACCTAAGCAGAGAGACGTGGGGGGGGGGGGGGGGGGTGCGGTTTAATTTT